TCTCCCTGCACTGAAGCTACCCAGAAGTCGTCACCGCAGACCCGAGGCCGCGCAGCGCTGCCTGCTTTCTGCCTCCTTTGTACCTTGTGATTTCTGCCTTCAATAGTTTCTAGGCCCGTGTTTGCTCCTCGTGTCCCGCCCTACGCTGCCGTGAAGCGTTTCTATACTGAATAAGCGACTACCACTTTTCTGGTGCAGAGGAAGCTTCACTTCTGTGAAGTAAGCCTCCACCTAACAGCTTAAAGAGCGATTGCACAGGTGAAATTTCTGTTGAGCAAAATGGAATGACTTGTGGACAAGGGAGGGAGGATTCTTATCTCCGGAGAGGTTTCAGTGGTCTCTTTTCTGGCATTTACTACAGCCCTGGGCTGCCAAACCCTGCAGAGAGAACTGGATTCCCCACTGACCAACTGCCTTCTCAACCAAATGGTCATTTACAAACGAATGGCTAACGCCAGACTGGCGGGCACCTGCCCCGATAAAATCTTTAGAACCCAGCAGATGTTGCAAGTGGTTTACATTTTCCTGACAAAGCCCATTCTTTATTTTGAGGAAGCGGCTTGCAGAGCTGGGGGTAGGAATGTTCATGGATTTGTTCCTTGCTAGAGGAGACCTAGAAAAGAAAATAGCCACAACTGTAAAGAATAATTGTTGGTAGTTTATTTACAACAAAATGCAAGGAAAAATACAATATTAAAAATAATAAATAACTCGGAAAAATCAGAAACTAAGTGATATGAATGAGAAATACGACAAACAAATTCTCCTGCTGAGCCTTGCATTATTTAACATGCAGAGCAATTCAAAACTTGGTCCTTCTTTGATGGTAGTCATGTACTGCCTAATGTAGCCATCATTGCTCTAAATAAGAAGTGAACTACTGGACGTTCAGAGTCAGGTGGAATTAGCACAGAAATGAAATAACCCCATGAAACCTGTTTTAGTGACACCACAAAACTACAGGAGATTGTAATTCAATGACCATGCTGTTCATTTAAAGCAAAACATTGTTAGACTTATTTAGCAATTTTAACTTACACATATAAAACCAAGTCCGAACAATGGAAACAGAAAAGCTCCTATTGACAAGATCATGAATTCTCTCTTACTGCACTCGCTAATTCATACAAAGCATATACATTTGGCTTATTTCAAATGACAGCACGTTGTTTTGAAGTTACAGTGCAGCAAGCTTCAAAGCAGTTTTAACAAAATGTAGCGGTCTTGTTACAAACTAAAGTTCAAGGAACAAATATTTCCATTTCAAAATCTCTACAGCAGCAATTAATGCAAATTGGCTACTAGATGCCACAAAATCACCTTCCAGAATAATCAAAAAAGCCGAAGAATAATGTCAAATAGTTTCTTTCCATGGGATTTATCCAGTCATTTACAAAATAAACCATTACATTCATAGGAAATCCCATTAAGTACGTATTTCAGGAATGTGCTGCTCCTCGTAGTCTTTATGGATACCTCCCTTTTAAAATTTATTAGGAGATCTACCCTTCTGAAGACTGCACTGAATCGCCAGTTATTTTGTAGTGACTGTTCTCTGTGAAATACATGAAAAGTACGAGCAAAGCTGGGAGGAGGCTTTACTAGAAACCCAAACAAACCGATCACGTTACTTGCTCTGAACCGTATTCTCCTTGATGACAAACGCCTTGTCCAGGTCCAGCAGAGCCGGATCGCGTCTTTCTGCCGTCACTGGGGCCGAGAACAGGACTGCGGCTGTTGTGCCGATGCGGCTTTGCTGTGCGGCACCATACTCTAAAAACGTACTCACTAAATAATCACGTCATTTATTTTTGCAAAAGTGCTGAACACCTGCAAAATGCTCTGTTTTTCTCCTAACAAACATGTCTGAAAATACAGCAGAAAGCACTGTGAAAAAATCAGTAATGAAAACAACCCCTTTGCCTCAAGATGTTATACTGAAGTATTCAGACCTTCCTTTTCATTTCATTTTCTGTGTTTTTTTTGTGTTTGCTGGGAATATTCTAGAAACAGCTATCCTGCCTTAAAAAACCACCAGACAAAACCCAACCAAACAGAAGAAGATATTTAAAGATGATATTGACCAAATGGGTAATGCCCGGTGGGGGAAGCAAAGCAGAACGCAGCAGAGGGTACTTAGCTAGGCACTGAAAAGCCCGGGGTTTTTCTTATCCAAAGCAATGAAACATTACAGATCTGCTTATTTGCCTTCGTTAGGAAGCAACATGGAGGGAATGAGGCTGATCATGATCCTTCTTGTGGCCAGCGGTGGATTCAGGCTGTTGGGTCAATAAATCTGGTAGTCCTCGGGAGCAGCGCCGCTCGGTGGAAGGGCTGCGGCAGCAGCGCACGCTGGCGGAGACGCAGCATCAAGCAGTCTGTCATTTTTTCCATGATGATCAGTGCCTTTCTCCTACATTTCTGTCATGCAGCTATTAAGATGCGTCCTCTTCAGGTATGTTAATCATTTTCATACATGCCTTATCCCCAAACCTGCTTAATGTGATAATCAGTGTATCCACATGGGATTGGAAATCAGTCAGTTAAATAGGAGTAAAGGTGTGACTGCTTTGGTCTAATGATCTGTGTCAAACCCAGATGCCAAAATGTACATAGAAACAGTAATGTGTAAGCACAAGGACATTATGACTAGAGCTGAGCAAATTCTTCTTTGACCAAGAAAAAATTCATTGAAAAATAGATTTTCAGGTGGAGCAGACCTAAACCATTTCCATATCGGTCAAATTCAGGAAATGAAAAAACAACCAAACAATGCTTTATGTTTTCAAAGGTTTCCCTTCTCTGCCAATGTTCCAATCTTGCTACTAAATAAATAATAATAAGATTAGACCAGTTATAATCATGAATACTTAATCTGCACACTTTTTAAGCTGAAATAATAAACTAATGTAGGAAAGTTTTGTTTGCACCATTACAGCCGCTTCTTTTTAAACAAAAAAATCATCACCCATTAGTTTACTCATCACAGAATTACTAGGTCTGAGAAGCAAAGCAAAGCAAAACATGGACAGCAAGTGGGCGAATACATGAAGTTAGACCGCAGCTAACCTACAAAGAGCTCCCAGATTTTGCTAGCTACAGAATTTTAACTATCAAACAAACATACACTTGTTTTCAGTGCAGGATGGCAGTGGAATCACCTCTCCTGCCACTAGAACTACCCTACAAATACCACACATTCACCATAACTTCTACTGGATCTACAGCCACGGAGAAGCTCAGTGCATTTAAGCCAGTCAAATCACAGCATTGTGCTGAGAAGATGGCACCAACGTCCCGTCGGGTAAAAGCCATCCCCAGACCGATTGTTCCATATTCAGTGATAGTTCAGCTCTGGAGGACTCTCTTTTTTTATCTGTGTACCACGTCACCGGTGGTACAACATATTACCCACTTTGATCACGATTCAGGCAATAGCTGTCATTCCCTGGGAACTGAACAGTGGCTTATTTAACATCCACTACAGCTACCGGGAGAGACAGATACCGACAGCATTCATTACATAGCAGTTTGTGTGAAATACAACAAAGGACCCCAAACAGGGGTCAGCGGGGAAAGTTTCTCACCGAGCTTACCTTTTGAAAAGGAAGGAAGGACGAGACCACTTCTGCCATTTATTTCCCTCCTCCTTCCACAAGCTACACTTCGTTACGGGGAAACATCCTTTTCTACATTTTAATTCCTGAGACTGAGGAGTGATTTCAGACGCAGGCCAGGAAGAGCACTTCTGTTTCCTTAACGTCACCCTACACGGGACTGAGCAGCCCCACAATTCATTTGCTTCTTAAAGGGACTGATTTTGTTCACCCCTTCCCTAGACGATGGTAAAGCCTGGAACCAGCTTTCTGTTAGCAGAGATGTGTGCTGTTTAGGAAAGAAAACTGAGTCTCATATTTTCTTTCCTTTACATTCAAGGCCTTATAGCATAACCACCACTCTTCTTCCAGTGAGGAAAAGACAGAATTCATTGGTTTTGCTTCTTAACTGGCTCAATTTAGCTGCGTTTTTTCAGTCTTACACATGGAACACCATTGATGAACACCAATACAGACTTAGGAGATCACAAAAGGACAGGGGAGAGCTATTAAAATACACTATCTACAAGAAATAGGTGATTTCTTTTACAAATTCTGTGCAAGATAGAAATAGTTCAATGGCCTCAAAGTCAGTATAATTAATTACAACTGGGGCTTCAATACAGTGATATTTTAGGTTTGAAAAGTTTTGTTTGTTAGCTAGGCCCCAAATCCTGAGTCGTATTAAGCAAAATGTGAATCTGAGTGAGTGCTGTTGGTGTTCAAGTACAATGAGTTACAGGTCAAAGGTTTATGAATACACAGGAGAAGCCTGAGAGTAGGAAGGATTTTAAAATCGGCTATAAAAGAAGAAAAGAGGAGGGTTTTTTTCCTGTTAACCCTGCATTCTAGTTGGCACAGAAGTTTGCCTCAGAAGTCCTTGGCAGCTTTACTAAATACCTACTCCTAATTACAAACGCTATGACCTAGATGAGGATTTGTAGGTAGAATACTGCTACAGAAAGATTTTTTTTCTTTTATAGGGTTCCCCTCAGACTATTTCATTGTATGTCAGTAAGACGCACCATATGGCTTGAAACACTACTTTAGGAATATATAAACTACATTCTCTTGCATGCACTTCTTTGAAGGTTTTAAGGATCAAGTCTGAGGAAAGAAGTAATCTTTCCACACCAGTAAGATTATTTTAAGCAAAAAAACAACCAACAAACCACCATGACCTTTGTAGAAATTGAGTTACATCACTCCTGCTGTGGTAGACATGGCTTATCAGGAGGAAACATGCTGGGTTAATTTAAAGGGTTTTTTTCGCTGGATCTGGAAGAGTGAGAGTTTCTGGAGCAGACTTTTTCCGAGGCCGGTCTTTGGGAACTGTTAGGAATTCAGGAGCATCTGTGGAGAGAGGAGTGGATGGAGCACTAGATGGAGCACTGCGGGTTGAAGAAGGCATGGAAATGTTAGAGATAGATATTGCAGGTGGGAAAATCCCAATCTTCTTGTTGGTAGCTTCCTGAGTTGCTCGTTCAAACTCTCGCACTTCATCCATTGTCATGTCTTCAACAAGAAGGAAAGAAAGATAAAGGCACGTCAGGATAATTTCAAATGATCGTTTCATTAACTCAGTTAAACTACTTCCATCCAAATTCTAAATCAGGGAATGATTGCTTATCATGCATATCATTCAGGGATTCTCCACATGAATGCCTTCCGATTGTAATGCATTGACTGGAGTACAACAAGCGGCCAATGTAAAGAAAATGAAGTTAAGTACATTAATCACATACTAATGGCTCTTCTTCTGCCTGGGTCTGAACTGAATAAAGAGTGCTACCTCTGCAACTGCCGGAAAAATCAAGCTATTTCACAGGCAATTAAAGAATACATTTAGATACACAGTTAGCAAGTAGAATTTTTCAGAACTTCAAACAAAATAAAACTAATAGGTTGTTGTGGGCTTTTTTTTTTTCCATCTAAATTATGAGCATGAACGAGTAAAGGGTTGTCATCGCTTTGTTAGTCTACTGTAATTATCAAGGGATGAAAAATTCTCGCTCCCCCCATGCCCAGCTTCTGCTGACTTCTCGTTGCAGCTGCATGCACGTAACTGAGGCCGTTTTGCTTTTCTGCTAATAAAGCCTAAAGAATTCCCTCTCACTTGATAAAGCCACAACACGCTTTCCAACTTTTCCATCCAGAATCTGTACTTAAACATTTACGGCCAACCGACAAATCCACTGCTTAATTCCCTGCAAAATAGAGGCAAAATGAGAAGTTAAAGCCACTTCGCAAGGGAAAATCGGGTCCACAGAAAGCTTTAAAAGCAGTGGAAGTCTCCTAACGCAGGTGACAAATGTGTCACAGGGCTGAGGAAACCCACAAGAGGGCAGAGCGAGCCCAGCAGAGATGTGCTCCGAGCTGAGCCCTGCCGAGCTCCTTTGATAAAAGCCCAAACGAATGGCAGCTGCTACAGACGGGTAAGCTGAGCAAAAAACCCAGCAACTCTTCCGAAACCTGCTGCCTCCTGTCTACATTGCCTGCAAGTTGATAAATTTTTGTGGTTTTCGCTGAACATCATGTTAAATTTGTAAATTTGAAGTATTTCATGAAACCCTTTTACAGATTCTTTCAGCTCTGAAAGCTCAAAAAACCCCAAAGAAAAACACTAGCATTTTAATAAATTTAAAATTCTCACACAGTTGGGTGTCTGAGACATGGGACCGCCAATGGTGCTTACCATACATATGACAAAATCCTATACTTTCAGTACATCGATACTTTTTAATATTACCCAGCTGCACGCATCTGTAGCCTTGGCTGCAAATGTTATGTAGGAGCAGCTTTATGTTGTAGTACAACATCACATTAAATAAACAAAAGCACGCGTGTTGCCAGCTGCCTCCTCCCTTCCCTGCAGACGACATGCCAGGGACCTTTTCAGCCTACACTGCTGTGCCAGTTATTAGGAGTGGGGACGAAGCTATTTTCACATCTGAGATAAGTGGCAGAAATAAACAGATGGTCTCAGAGGAACTGTACCTACTTGCGTTGGGAGATAGATTGGAACCTGCTTTGCTGATTTACATTTTGTTTCACGCCTTGTAACAGCGTGTGTAGTGTTTCTCAACCCAGACGGTTTAAAAGCGCCCTGACATCAAAGGGAGCCCATGCATTCATTTCAGCTACTTTCGATTGAGAACTTCTGTACAACATGAAACAAAAGTTGTCTTGGATAAATGAAAGTGAGAGAGGACAGGAAGATTTCTCAATGCGCTGGCCATTTAACTGAAGATTGATTAAAGCCTTACTAAGTGGTACTCTCCAAGACCGTCCATTTTAAATTCAGACACAAAATACTTATTGTCCCTTCAGTTGACTTTGGCTTTTTAGCTTACACTCGCTTTAAATTCACTTCTGTTCTGATACACACTCGAGTAAAACCAGTCCTTATCCTGAGCTACGAAGGCTCAGACTCTCTTTTGTTTCCATTATTCTATTCTGAATTCTATTCAGATCTATACAGAGTCTAGTCTGACCTCAATGGCAATTTTCTACATGGGAACTATGGATGGCAGACTTCATTCAAAGCCAAATCCTGAAGTGTAGAGCCGAAGTCAGAAGTGATTCTCAATTTACTGCTGGGCTAAGGAGTAACCTGGATGTCAACGGAGCTGCGGCATGACAAACACAAGAATCACCGTCCTGGTTATTGCTCAGACAACACCTTCTCGGGCTGGTGACAGTTTTCACTGAGTCAGAACAAAGGAAAGGCTTCCAGCCCTTCAGGCCTTGTGCCACACCCGTTACCTGAGTAAAACCCTCACTCGGCTCTACAGCGCAGTTAGTAGAAATGAAGGAATAATAACATTTCAAAAGCAAATACCACTGCATCTTTTCTGTTTGCAGATAGTAATAATTTCTAATTTTAGGCCTCTACGTGAGGTGCCCAAATTAGGGACTTAAATGCTTTACGAAGTTTCCAGAATCCGAATCGAAGAACCTACACAGAAACCTGCCCTTCTCTGGGAACTGCTGTTATATACTTCTGAAAATACTCTCAGCTCGTTGGTAGCTAATCAATGACAACGTTCAAATTAGTTTGAAAAGAGTGAATAACTCATTAGTGTTTTTTTTTTCCGGGTGAAGCGAACAGTTTTATCAGTCCCATAGAAATTTTCCACTCCCCATGTTCCTGGCTTTTTGACTGAAGCGCTCTGAACTCTTGCCTTTTTAAACTACTCAAATAATAGAAGAAAAAACCTGATATTTAACTTCCTCTTTATGCATCCAACCGAAATTTGAGAATTGTGTCTTCCTGGAAGGCAGGGAGTTGTGCATGAGCCCAGCCCCACCCTTTCTTACATCAGTGGCAGTTTACAGTGCAAACGCAAGGCAGGATTGCACTTCGTGGAGAAAGATTCTGTTCCTGCTG